TAAATAGATTTTGAATTTGTTATATGCATGTTTGATGCATTAAGTTATTTTAAAAACATTGTGGGCAGTTCTGCTAGAATCATTTGAAGGCCGGAGGCCATTTATGTAAATTGCATGAGATTATATTGTGCATGCTGCTGGTTTGGTTATAAAATGTGTTTTATGCAGGTGGAAATTTTGGGGAAATATTAAATTTACAGGGGAGACTCTGCCGGAATTTCGGCAGAAAGTCTCGTGCCCTAAATCCTCTATGGTAAAAGAGGACATAGTTTTAAGGAGTGAACCTGGCGTGGGTGTGATGCCGGGGTCTCCGCAGGGTTCGTCTCGGGTTCCGGGAAATTCGGGGCAAGTCCTGTCAGAAATCAAGAATTCCAAGGAGGTCGGTAATAAGGTCTTCTCGGGTTGGGAATTTGAGTTTCTATGTGAAACTTGTTCTAAATTTGTAATCAACATATGCCAGAGATTTGTAGTTATAGTAACCTATTAGAATACATTGGAAATCAAAATACGGTAAATAAAATTAGATGCGTTTTTTAAGCAATTTGCATTAGAAATCATAATTACAATTCCACTCTCTCTTTTCTTCATTTTTGGGTGGATGAATTGAGTATGTTTGTAAATTGTACCTCAAAGTTCAAACGCTGCCATACAAAATTGCAACTTGGATGAATTCAGTATGTTTCTATTCATACCAGATTCACCTTCCAACCGTAGTAGGCTTGGGGTTCAGAACTTCACCAAGAATTAATTGTACTTGAACAGCACCCAAAAATATTTCCAACACGTCATAAAATAATATGCCACGTGTACGATCAAGATCTCTCGTGAGGGGATCATGGGTTATCATTGTTGAGCTAAAGAGTGGCCATGGCACCATGTCTCCATAATCTGAAGATTAAAAAGTTGGTTTTCAAATGGTACGTAAAAATTACAATCCATTCAATTGAACTAGAAAAGAAAACCCAATTAAAATGAGTTGAGTTGGATCAAAATATAGAATTACATATTTTTATTAAAAGGGGATTTTTGGACTTTTGAGTGCAACTTGGAAATTGCACAAGTTACAGGGTTGACAGGAGAGAGAGCCATGCAGCTGAGGTTAGGTGGTGGTGGTACTGTGAGGACCACATTGGGGGTAATTTTCGTCCTCCTCCTGCTATGTATATTCTCACTGTTCTCTCTATTTGAGTGAGTGATGTGGCTACTTCACTGCATGCATTAATTTATTATAATCTCCTCCAAACTTTTCTTCTTCTTCTCCCTCCTCACCTTTTGATTTTGTCTATGCTCTATTGACGGGTTCTTCCAGGGTTTCATTTCATCATCCCAATTTCTTCATGCAATATAATATTCCTTCATACCATCCATCAAATAATATTTATAATTCATTAGTCAGTAATGTATACGTACATATATATATACGTATCATCCCCAAAAATGATTTACTGACAATATTAATTAGTATTATAAAGAAGTACAAGTTTAGATCATTATTGTTGTGCATATATACATAATGCTAAGGATAACCTCCATGCTCACTCATTATTATGACCATGAAAATGTCACCAATTTTATTGTGCATATATGTATGTAATGGTCAATAAATGCTGTACATACTTCCTTCCTTCTGCAGGCTCTACATTGACCAATTAATTACTCAAATTAGCTTTATGCACTTTACAGATCTGTGTTTATTATTTTTTTCTTTTTCCAGGGGACGAGTGGCATTAAGCTCAATACGCACAAGGGAGGGGCTACCTTGATGAGAGATTCACAGTTGCAACATTCCGATATGGATTCGTGAGCCTGTATGTTTGTTTCATCTCATTGTGTATTTCATTATATTGGAAAAAAATACCAAAGGGGACTGTTCTGGGAGATACTTACTAGTCCTGCTTCAACAATAATTTATATGAGAAATTGTGTCTCACCATGTAAATCATAAGCAAAAGCGCCTCATAGCAGCAAAGAAGAAACAGTGTGGTGCAAAAGAAAAGTCTAAAATAAACTTTAGCTTAAGAACAATATGTGCATAAACTTAATTCCAAATGATATGATCAATATGTGCATAAACTTAATTCCAAATGATATGATGTTACATGCACACACTAATTATCGGACTAGTCTAGCATTCGTGCAGTTATTTAGAGGAGTGCATGCCCAAGATGCTACACATTGCATAAAACTTCTACCAACTTCCTTCCTGGTATACCAAACAAAATAGGAGACGCACCAAATTCCTCAAATACAATCCACGGTAGAGCTCGAACTTCATTGTGCACAGTAAGGTCATCAAGATGTCGCGGTCGAAGTTGTTTAGCCAAATGTTTATGATACCATTCCATATCCTCATACCAACATCGCAGTTAAAATGTAGGAGTCGCACAATAAAATTTCTATTTGCTCCTACGACAACAGTGTGACTATATCCTGAAAATTTTCTTCTGAATACATCGTGCACTCTCTCATTAAGCTCATGAGTATATTCGTAATCACTGTTGTACCAGAGAGAGAACAACGAATTGGAAAGAGGAGTAGCGAAATGCATTGACAAACACCGAATTAAGAAATTCGATAGCTTCAACATTCAACATTCAACGCCTCTGAAAACCAGTTTGTATCCTAGCACTGACCCAGTTGATGTGTATGTTGGTGGTGCTGAACATGTTGTTCTCCATTTAGATAGTAAATCCCACGCTTCTTTATGTATTGTGGTTTATCGCTGAAGCATGTGTTGTAGATGGTCAACAAAACGAAAAGGGTAGATGTGCATAACTTTGATTTTGTACCATAGTAGGAACGTCTAGTATCATGTTTGGTCAGCAACCTACGGACTAAGTGATGCTTGAAGACCGTGTAACTTTTACATCTGGAAGGCACGATGAATTCGAAGTCTTTGTTTTCTTGGAAGGATTGGATGGCATAAGCGAGTAGTTTCATTAATTTGTTTTTCACATCTTCCTTAGGGAGATTGGACACCTCGACATATACTTTTTTTTCTTGTATTGATAAAGGTGGGAGAATGGCGAAATTCGGCTCATCATTCTTAATGTTCTTCTTGATGAGCTCGAGATAAATATTATGTTGCACCTCTGGTTGAGTTGATTCGCCTCCTTGAATATAATCTTGAATCATGGAATGAAGGGCGAGATGTAACTTCTTGTCTGCGGGGACATCTTCATCAGGCTTCGACATTGTCAAACGAATTTTTTTTTCTTTTAATTCCCAAAATAAGCCTCGAAATTGGTTGGGGACTCTTCTCCGAAAAATAGTTGACAGTAAAAATAAGATTGTAGATTGAATGAAAATAATTGGTTGGGGACTCTTCTCCGAGCATGTGCTCAAAGCACTTCTTTTAAACTACCCGGGCCTCCCATGGATTTGGACCTGCCTTTCCTACAAAATGTGGGAGTCTGATCCATGCCTTTCCTACAAAATGTGGGAGTCTGAATTCATGAAAACGGGAAACATGTTTTGGGTATCTTGTTCCTCAATAAAAAACGTGGTGCCTTGGGGAATATCTTTCTAATTATGTCATTAAGGGAAACAAGTTTTGGGTATCCTGTTCGCAAGAAAAAAATAAAATCAGATTCCCAATTGACGTGCATTCTACAAAATCTTTGTCCACGTCTGTTTTCGACTGAATAAGAAAGAAACTAAAAATTAAAGGTTAAATTTTTGCTTTCCTTTTTTATTTTTTGGTTTTTTGGTTTTAGTTTTATACAGTCGGTGTTCTACTAAAAAAAATAAACATAAACACAAGGTATAATATAAGTCGGTTGCCGATCTTCCGTGGCCCGGTGGTTTTGTGATCCACACAATCTCCTTGCGCAAAAACATCCCTATAAAGGCAGAGGCATTTAAGAGAAAAAAACCCAAAGTCCTTCTTCTCGAACCCTAAAAAAAAAATTGTCTTCTCTTCTCACCACCATCGCTCGCGTATCCCCGTTTCTCATTCACCTGCGAACAACTGAGGGACAAGAAACAATGATGAAAAACACGTTCGAACTCTGTTCAGAGGTATTCAAAAGAAATCAATAATTTCAAGCTGGCTATTATAAATTGATTGTTATTTATTTATTTATAATTCTATCCAATTTTCCATTCAGTTACCTCCCCTTATGTCAAATCTCGAGATAGAGAAGAAAACGGAAGAAGCTCCTCGACGGCAGCAGGAGGGAGAGCACGATCCGATCAAGTAAAAATCCTCACTCATTTAGTTTGGCCTCTATTCTTGTAGTTTTTGACGTGTCCTCATGTATGATGTTCATTCTGCAGGCATGCCAATTCTCTTCTTGCTTTTTTTCATGATGCTATTGAAGGCTTGAATTCTCACATGGGCTTCGATCGTGATACCCTTAATAGATTCATCACCCAATCGTTTGCCGATCCTCGATTTGCTGACCTAATGAAAGTTTTCAGCGTATGTCTTTTACTTTTTTCCTTTTTCTTCTCCTGCTCTTGTTATTTATTAATTAGTTTTTTGGAGTGTCGCAGGACGATGCTGCAAGTTCAGATGTTGGTACAACCATTCCTGATAAGGTAAATAACGGGTGTGATTCCCAGTTTTCGTCATCTTCTTTTCAAGATTTGGCACCTTATAGTTGTTTTTGTTAGGTATATTATTTGCATATTAAGCACATCTGGGTTTGTTCTAATTCTATATAGTGGGGGGATTAATGTTATTCCAGGAGTCAAAAAGCATTATGCAATCAAGTAGATAAGCCGATGTTGAGACGCATGCCTTTACTTGTTTGTTCGTAAATGTCGTAATATCACTTTGGAATTTAATTTTGCATCTATGATTGTTGTAGGTTGCTAGTCGTGACGATATCGAGGCATTGATCCCTGAGGATCCCGACGACTGGACAGAAGAGGTGAGGAAATAATAACCATGTATTTGGTAAACTTTATTAGCTTGTCTTGATTGTTATTGGTTGACTATGATAACCGTATATAGCAAGTCATTTCCCCTTTTTTCTGGTCTTGGTGTGTATATTTACCACCCTAATTGCTTTCAGAGGTCTATTATTCGTGTAGTATTTTAATGAACTTTGCAAGTACCGTGTCATGAGAACATAAATATAAATATATATATTTGCTCTAGAAACATACATCTGGTTTCGCTAGTGGTCATCCATGTCATCGAGCAAATATGCTGCCAATGTTAAGAGGCATTACTTCAATATCTTGTTTGCAAATGTTATAATTAGACTGGAGTTTGCATATCTGATTGTTGTAGGAGAGCTTTCGATGCTTGCATTGTTTTCACTCTCGGGGGTACACACAACACAATGTCGTCTAGGTCTTGCTCTGGAAATATTCTGCTGGTCATCTTTAATAATGTTATTCTAATGTGATATGTGGAGGGATTGTTTATGGAGTCAAAAATTGCTGTAGTTTGTACTGAAACAGTTTTGTACTGGATTTTTTTTTTTTCCAGATGTGGGATTATTGTTACGAAATGGAACAGGAGGATATGAGGAATTTCGCAGAGCAGCAGGTGAGAAAGTAAAATTTGGTAAAATGTATTATCCAAAGTGCTTCATGTTTGATATATATATATATATATATAGATAGGTGGATTATTCCAAGAGTCGATGAATATGGTGATGTATATATGTAAAATCAAGTTGACATATGCCAAAGTGATTCACTTTTCACCTTTGATTGTTGTTGTATGACAGTTGGCTTTGCAGCAGCAATTGGACGGAAAATTGTGAAGAAGACAAGTAAAAGAGAGAGATAGAGCGATCAAGTGGCTTGGCTTGAATATGTCTAGTATTTTTCATGTTTTGAATTAATTAATTAATGTAGACTCGGAAAACGGATTGATTTCCCATTCCATCTATTCTAGTTATGTTTTTCGATTGCATTTTAATTAATAATTCTTATAGCCCCGTTTTTCAATACAACTTTTTAGATGAGATAGTTGCTGTATTATCTTATTTGTTTATCAATTAATGGTACTTTTGGATATGCACATGTGTTTGTGTTAAAGTGTGGTTTTTTTCTTCTTCCAGTTTTCGTGACCAAGTATGTGAAGAATCAAGACAGGGTTTTTGTTTTTGTTTTGTTTTTGTTTTTTTGTTTTTTGCAAATTTATGAAAAGGGAGGGATAAACCCCAGAGAACAACCTACACTAGTATATCAATAGAAACTAGACGAGTTCTAGTAATTTCTAACAAATCATCAATCAAACTAGTCCAAACCCTAGTTGGAGCATCAAGAAAGATATAAAGACTCAAATCTAAATTATAGCTCCAGTTCCCCAAACAATTAGCAACATTGTTTTTCTCTCTGTAAACATGATAAACACTGCAACAGTTAATCTTACGGACTGGCAAGGTCAAAGTCAAAATACAATTGGGAACAAACTCCTAGTCCATCTGACGGACTGGCAAGGTCAGAGAGAGTTGTCCCGGTGTTGAGGTACTTCTAACTGGGGAGGCAAGAGGTTCAAAAAGCTCCCTTGCACAGGATGACTGCTTCCGCTGTCAGATGTCTCTGACTCTTCATCTGCCTCAAGTGAACACAAGAAAGTGAGAAAAGTAAAAGACATTTGCTCTAAATTTAAATGGATAAAGATATAAGTTTACCAAATAGTGTTTTTACAGACAGTCTCTTTGGTTTGGTGCTTTTCTTCTTCAACGAGGCTTTCGTAGAGACAATAGACTGAATCAGTTTACAAAGAAAGAAAATGCCACACTAAGAGTACTTATAATATAAACATTGCAGTATAACCAGCTAAAATAATGTTCTTCCAAAGCCAACAACAGGATCGATGGGTGGCCTTAACCAGACAGGATACTATATATAATCGATTCCAGCAAGTTAGTACATGCTTCCTCTGTTTCCCAGTTATTTTGGTCACTTGACTGTCATTGATCAATAACTAAACAAAAATTTGTGTACGGCATCTGCCATTCGAACAACCATTAACATTTTCTAGATTAACCCATGCATTACATGAACCATCAAAATCTATATAATCTACACACAAATATAACACAAACTGTGAACTAAAACCAAAATGTAACAAAAGATAAAAGTTTTAAGGCAAGTTTATAAAAGATAAACCCATCCCAGAAACTTGATAATCGTTAATGATTTCGAAGTTTTTATATGCGTAGCCCACAAAATTAATGTCCTTAGAGGAGAGCATCTGCAAAATGGAGAGAAAATAATGGAAAGATTTGAAAAGATTTGGGGGTAGCAAATTGTATATACAAATTAGCGACAATAGCAAGAAGAGACAAAACTCAAAAGCTTACCTTTCTCCAGGGACCAGTTTTGGATGAACTCTGAGTTTGGGAGCCAGACTGCAGATCAAAAATTAGTATAAATCAAATTATCAGAAATATGATGTGCTCGACACAGGTAGCTTCACAACTCCACAGAATTGAGGCATATCTATACCTTTAGCTTTAGGACAGTTGATTTGGTATTTTGCTCTGGCTTCTTGGACCCAAGTCCAACAATCTTTTCCCTTTCCATATCGCTGTATATCCATCCACATCCAGCAGCACAAAACAGATATTAAATAAAAAAACACACATTATTAGACACAAAGATCGGATGTCAAATATGAATAGCACAACAGATTATAAGAAATATAAATTTTAACAAGACACAAATATGACTGTACGGTACCCAAAATAAAAAAAGAAGGGATAATTCATCTTCATCACCTTATTTCCAAATGATACCCAAATAATTTTATTTTTGCAGTAGCACTACTCCAAATAATTTTATTTTAGTTTTTTATTCCCAAATGATACCCAATACATGAAAGCTTCACACTATGTTAATTTTTGTAGGACAGGAAAATATTGGACAATGAGTTGGAGGTTGTTGAGGGAATGAATCTAGACAGGGGCTACATATCCCCTTATTTCGTCACCAACCAGAAAAATCAGAAATGTGTAAGTTCTAGTTTGACTCAGCGATAACTATGTCTTGAAACTGTTAGAGGCCTGCTCGCTAAAGTTAGCAGCACCTCAAGTCCCTTTTTGCTTGATGCTGATTATCTTCAAACTTGTGTATGTGCTGATAGGAATTGGAAAATCCTCTAATCATAATCCATGAGAAGAAAATCTCAAGTGTTAATGATGTCAACAAGATGTTCTGGTTGACGATTAAGTTGAACCCAAAATTTATGATTGTTTTCCACTTTCTTTAATGCTAAATCGACGTGGCAGTCTTCTTCAAAATGTAGGAGTCGAATGATGAATTTTTTATTCTTCCTTATGACAACACTCTGTTTATATCCTTCGAACTCTTCTATGAATGATTCATGCACTTTTATGTTCAACTCATGTACATATGCGCCATCGGTGTTGTTCCAAAGAGTGAACAACGAAGAAGAAAGATCATTACCCAAATGATCGTAATGATCAAAAAGCACTTGCAGAACTTGTTGGTTATATTCCTCGTTGTAGCCTAATGGTTTCATTTCAACCACACGCATAATACCACCGCTCATCTCATCAAAAAGAGATACATATGATAAAGTCCTTTTCATAAGGTTCAATATTTCTTCTCTACTGTTGTTGCCTGGTTTGTAATGTTGCCTCCAATACAATGCAGCACGTTCACCACCGGATCCATTCACAACAAGTTCGTGACGAGTGGATTCTATAATAAAATCCTCTTTACTAACTTTATATATATGAGGATCAAATCTCTCATCCTTTTGCTCCCATCCAATTATAAGAGGAGACCCATCAAAAGAATTTGATTGGATGTCGATATACTTCTTGGCTTCTCGTGCTGCAAAATGGATGCCTAAATCTTCTATCTCATCTACTGCAAAATGGATGCCTAATAAATCTTCTATCTCATCTATTTCCATTGCATCTTTCGTATTTCTCATATGTTCCATCACTTCTTTCAAATTTTCCATCTTCCTCTTCACATAAGTTAATGTATTTGAACAATCTATGGCATTTCCTGCCATAGCTCCAAGTATGTTGTAATCATTAATTCTAAATAATTTCCCTGCTGTTTCTGATATTATAAATCCTTTGTCCATCCCACTTGTAGCCCTCGAATCCACACCAACAAAGATTTTATCATCACATATAATGGCGAGGTTTGTTGTGCCCCATTCCTTTACCTGTGTAAAAATTAGAATTTTATTAGTATTGTTTGTCTTTCCTAAATTAAGCAATTTAGGCAATTAGAATGAAGTAATTCACAAGATATTAAAAAAATGCTTAATAATAAATAAGATAAGAAAGATAAAAAAAGAAGAAAGAAAGAAAAAAAGCGACAAGCCCCACCAACACACCCCCCACCACAACCCAACCCTTCCCCATCGCTGACTACCGCCCCCAACCCATGGCCTCTATTCCCTGCCCATCTAGCCACCCCGAATTCTCCTCCGCAATGGTAAAAAACTATAGAAAAACAACGGCAAATAAAAATAAAAAAAACGAAGCAAAAGAGCCAAAAACCCCAAATCAGAAATCGGAGAATGGCAGAAATCACAAAGTAAGGTTTTTTTTAAGGTTTTTTTTTTTTTTTTTTTTTTTAATTTTATATTGAAAAGGGAAAATTACAAGCATAAACCTCGAAGTAAGTTGATCATATAGAATATACGTGCGGGCATATTTTATGATTAAGTAATTAAAAGATAAGATTTTTTTTTTTTGGTGCTTAAAATAAGAAAAAAAAGATCAAGTGGATAGTATAAGTAGGTATGGTACATTTAACCAACGAAAAAAGAAGAAGTACGTACGACATTAAATAAATAAATAAAAGAAAAAAGTAGTGGTAATGGTCACAAACCTTGAAATCTTGATTGGTTTTCTCCAAGTATTCCTTTTCTGAAACTGAGTTTTGCAATTCTTGGTTGATCATAGAATATGCATTTGCCATTCCCATGTCCGACTGAAGTGTATCAATACAACAGAGCAAAAGTTCAACCCGCTACAATCGCAAATTTGTTGTTGAAAAAGAAAGATGAACATAAAATTAATACCAGCAGTCATCCTTTTATAAGAGAGACTTGTTCTGTTTAGGGAAGGAAAAAAATCTTACCCACTAAGACGGAGAAAAAAAGGGGAAACAAAAGGTTTGGCTAAAAAAAAAAAAAAAAAACAGGAAACATAAGGAATATGCACAAACCACGCAGAGCGTGAAAATTTTCCTTGCACGAAACACATTGACAAACTCCGAATTAAGAAATTCGATAGCTTCAACAATCAACATTCAACGCCTCTGAAAACCAGTTTGTATCCGGGTAGGTTTTTTTTTTCTCCTTTGTAGTGGATTCTGCATTGAAAGGGTTAAGGGAAGAAGGAACCTTTAGTTTGGCATTCCATATTCCATATTCCTCTTCCTCTTTTTGTTTTCTATTTGGCATAATTTTTCCTTCCGTAGGTCATGAAATCTGGGGAATTCTTTCGTAATGAAAGACAATCCTAACAATAGCTTTATGAAAATATGATAACTTTATGTGATTAGCATTTTTAGCAACGTTTCTTTTACTCTTTTTTAAATGTCAGCATTTCTATTACATTATTCCACAGTTCCTTCCAAGTTTTAATCGTTTATGATCAATGTGTGTGTACGCTACATTTTTTCATTGCCATCTCCAGAACCTCCTCTACTATCAGTAGAGGACTAGCAGCTCATGAGCCAAATGTTTTTCCACAAATCAACTAGAGGGTCTTAAACTCAAACAGAGATCAATTACAAACCAAAAATATGGAATAATAATGCGTATGATGGCCCTGCCTTATTGTTAGTATTTGACAAATATTGAAGTTTGTTCGGCATTTAAACCCAAAGGTCACTATCAACGACATTGTTCTTGCTTTCTATTAAAAAATAAATATAAAGGAAACACATCTTTAAGATGCAAAAATAGAATAGACCATGTGTTGCAAATTGCAATTCACTTGCCATAATAGCTCTCAGACCCCAACTCCCATCATCAAAAGAAATATGTTTCGCGCGCCTATCAAGCTTGGGAATCGCGCATCCATCTTTACCACAACATGACTCGTTTTTAAAGAAAGTCTTTCTTGGTACCTCATGTGTATTAATTGTTTTTAGTTGGCTGTTGTATGCAGGTTTTTATTTTTGTTTTGTTCTTAATATTGGTTGTTCAATCATTCATTAAAAACAATCCCAAAAATAAAAACGGACAAGCTTGGCACCAAATACAGATGACAATAGTGAAGCAGAAGAAAATTAAAGTAAACTCACCTGCTAAACTTTGGAAAGTTTGGTGACTATTTGATCATTGTATTTTAAAATGTGTGGCCCGTTTTAAGCTTTTGGATGAGTTTAAAATGATGTGGCATGCATAGAGTAAAAGCCAAGCAGAGTAGATCCTAGAAGAGGATTCGGATCTAGTTCATAAGGATCCCGAAACTCTACATTTAGCTTCTATGCATTTACCCGCATTTCAGTAAATCTAAACTGCTCAACCAATCTAACGACTAAACACACGAGATGTCATTAAACTTTTTAAACATATTTTTTATTTTTTTTTAAATTTCCAAAACCGATGTTAACCCTAGCTTAACACCGTTAAGGTTAGACTAAACTAAGGCGAGTGTACTTTTTTTTTTTTTTTTTCTCTCAATCACGAGTGTCCTTCCTGGTTTTTTCTTTTACTTAGAATTTCTATATTACTTGTCATGCTTAGGTGTAAAACTGTCCAAGATGTTCTGTTTGGGATTTTTTGGGATCACAATGTTGTGGCAGTTAGTAGTCTAATTGTTGGTTTTTTCAATTTCATGGCAAAATGCGGGTAAATGCACAGAAGCTAAATGTAGAGGCTCGGGATCCCAGTTTAGAATTACTTTATGCATGTGTTTGAACAATGCTTCATACTTGGCTTATGTTTTTTTCCGTTTAGCTTTTGAAGCTGCTGCATATGAAGAATCGATTAAGTGGACTAAAGGGGAAAATGCCGGAACAATACTAATACAATTAGACAGTAGTAATCGGAAAAATTTAACTTTCACAAGAAAGTAATGAAATCAAGTCGCTCACAAAATTGAGATTATAAATTTATGAATGATCAACAATCAAATTGTCGGTTAGAAGAATACACAATTAGAAGGTTGCACAAGAGAAAGTAATGCTATAGGAGCCCTAATCCCAGTTCACACAACTATCAGGCCCAAAAAATTAAAATACCCATATGCCCAACTTCAATTCACCAATTAATATTTTAATATCGTGAGCAAGGAATGAATCACAGAAGGAAATCAATAATGAGAGATGTCATGCTTCTTCTTTATTTTGGTTGGAGATATATGCTAATTTACGCCAATTTATCTTTTTATTATTTTTTTAAATTTGATATGGAACGTCTTGGTTGGAAGGAATATGTTTTTCAAATATAAAAATAAGGAAGTTATGAAAGTTCTATAAAAATCAAATCAGGTAGCACAATTAGTTACCCAATACGTTATTTTAACTTTCTCTCTTTTTTCTTTTTTTTAATATTTAAATTTAACTTTTATTATTTGATTCCTTATTAACCGACGTATCTGAAAGGGTATTTCCTAGTATCTGAAAGTTTCCCTAAACTCTGCGTTGGCCTTTATATATAATGCTCTTTGCGTTTTCTTTCTCCTTCACTCTCTCTTTGTTTGACCTAAAAAAAACTCTCTCTCTCTCTAAATTTTGTGCATTTAGGGCTTAGAAGTTATAAAAGACTCCGTTATCGATGGGTGGCTCAGCGAAGGATGTGCAATCCAAGAAGGAGCTTGATAGCGTGGTTCACAGTGGTGCACCCGTTGTTCTGCAGTTCTGGGCCTCGAGTTGTGAGGCTTCGAAGCACATTGACGAGGTCTTTGCCCACCTCTCTACTGATTTCCCTCATGCCCATTTCTTAAGGGTACGTATTCTTCTCATCTCTATCTGGGGTTTTTTTTTTCCTGGTCTTTTGTATGTGTGTGTGCTGGTGTTTTTTTTTTTAATCTCCAATTGATGATAAAATATTGTAGGTTGAAGCAGAAGAACAGCCTGAGATATTCGGGGCTTATTCGGTTCGTGATGTGCCCTACTTTGCCTTTGTGAAGGTATGCTTATTTGGTATAGTCTATTCATGTTTCCTTTTTGATTTGATGCTGGCTGATTTTGAGTAAGCATAGTTAGGTCGTCGGATGTGAGGCCGGCATGCAATAACAAAGTTCTGCATTTAGATAATAAGGTTCTGTTGAATGTTTTGTCACATGATTTATGATCATTGATCAACTGTTTTGAAGATGTAGAACTTACGTGTCACATGCAATATGAATAAATGGAAACGTGTGCAAGCATGAATTGAGTTATGATTGGAAAAAGAATTTTGCTGTTAGATGAACTTTTGTAACTAATATCGTTGTTGGCTTGGGTTCTTCCGATTGTTCTGTATCTGTTCTTCTCTTGGTCATTTTTTGTTTGTGCTTTTTTGGGTCAGGATGGAAAGGTCGCTGATACATTAGAAGGTGCAGATCCATCTATTTTGGCCAATAAAGTTGCTAGGGTTGCCGGGTCAGTTAAGCCTGGAGAACCTGATGCTCCTGCTCCTGCCAGTCTTGAGACAGTCCACGAGTTAGCAAAAGAAAATGGATCTTCCCAGAAGAAAGAGCAAATTCAAGCACAAAATGGCCTTGATGATGCCTTGAAAAGGCGGCTGCAACAGCTGATTGACTCTAATCCACTCATGCTTTTCATGAAAGGAAGCCCTGAGGAGCCCAAATGTAACGTTAGCCGAATTGCCATTGACATTTTGAAGCGAAAGAAGGTCAAATTTGGAAGTTTCGATGTTCTTACGGACATTGAAGTCATGGAGGGGATAAAGAGGTATTCTAACTGGCCAATAATACCGCAGATTTACTACAAAGGGAAGCCCCGTGGTTGGTGTGACATAGAGAGTTTAATGCGTCATAGTGGTGAATTAGAGGAAGTTCCCAGAGACCATGGAATTGATACTGCTGATTCTACTGGGGCGAAGATAACTGAATTAGAGGAAGTTTCCAGAGAACATGGAATGGATACTACTGATTCTGCTGGGGCAAAGGTAACTGAAGCTGGAAGTGGAAAGGTCGGTATCTCAGCAACTACTCTGGATCTTCTCACGAGCAGATGCAAGTTCAAGTGCAAAATATTTGTCAAAAAAGAATTCAAGTGCAAAATGGCCTTGATGATGCCTTGAAAAGGCGGTTGCAGCAACTGATTGACTCTAATCCAATCATGCTTTTCATGAAAGGAACCCCTGAGGAGCCCAAATGTAAATTGAGCAAATTCGCCATTGACATGTTGAAGGAAGAGAAGATCAAATTTGCAAGTTTCGATGTTCTTTCAGACAATGAAGTCATGGAGGGAATACAGAAGTATTCCAACTGGCCAACATTACCGCAGCTTTACATAGAAGGGAAGGGTAGTGGTTTGCGTCACATACGAACTTTAAAGTGTGGTTTTCGTGAATAAGAGGAAGCTTCCAGAGACCATGAAATCAACTCACAGAATTAGAATACACAACTGAATACCTGTAGACTGAATTTTTTATATAATGTATTCAGCTTGTGAATGGCAATATTCTATCAGTTAACTTATAATCTCTGGATTTACGTATGATTCTTACCCTTTTTGGTTTCTAATAATTAATGGCATTGTTTCCTAGGTCTTTATCTACATAAATTTTTTTCTTCTGCTTCCAATGATAAAAAGTCTTTTAATCTTTCTAATGGGATTAAAAATACTTCTGAGAAGAGCTCACGTATATATCAGAGCAGCCGATTTTTTTCTACTGCTCGCTCCGTATATTCTATATCCAATTCGGAAACTACCAGCACCTCCATGGCTGATACTTATTAAGTGAAGACGAGACTCAATTCTTCCTTATATATATGGTTCATCCAGTGATACATCAAGCCATTTAAATGGTGGAACCTGTAGGGAAGAAAAGACCAAACTCTGTGTTGTATTTTGTCA